CAATTCAATTCAATTCAATTCAAGAGTGGCCACCAAACTTTCCCAAAGACTGCTTTATACAAAGTTCTCTCTCCCACTTTAGCAAAATAGCAACAAGTCCTTCCCTGAAGATCAGAAAGGCACATTAAAATCGCAGCTGCTTCCAAATTACTCTCAAAAGTAGCTGCTATTGTGCAGTAGCATTCCCAGAACATCTCAGTTCCCACCAGTTGTCTCCCATTTGATGCATTGCAATTGTGTTACATTTAAATTCCTGTTATATCCAGATAGTTTGGGCAGTTAACTTCAGCTGTCTGAACCTAGACTTCCCATTCTAGATGTTCTCAATGCACATGTACTGGTTCCACTATATTATTTACACTAAGCACTCCAGAAAATTAATTTAATTCATTTGATTTAGGTTTATTTATTTTATGTACATGTGTTAATAAATATCATCAGTAATTAATATTCATCTTTAGCAATTTTATTTGTTTGTTGATTTATTTATTTATGTTTTGTCCTACCTTTAGTATTTTTTACAAATAACTCAAGACAGCAAACATCACTAATACTCCTTCCTCCTCCTTTTTCCCCTACCCCACAACAGCAGCCCTGTGCGGTGGGTTGGGCTGAGAGAAAGACTGGCCCACCAGAAAAGCTTCACTTAAGGCAGGGGTGTCAAACTCAAGACCCAGGGGCCTGATGCATCCCATGGGGTGCTTCAATCTGGCCCAGGGGGCCACCCTGGAAACAGCGAAGGATCGGCCTAGAGTGCCTCTGCCAGCGAAAACAGAGCTTAAGTGTCTGTGACGGCCTCCTGCAATCCTCTGCCAGGGAAAAAGAGTTCAGGAGGGCTGCGTGAGCACTCAGGCCACCACAGGCGCCCCCGACACGAGTGGTCAAGCCGGCCACGCCCGCTCCAGCCTCCTGAGGTTAAACGCAACTGTGATGCGGCCTTCAATAAAATTGACTTTGACATCCCTGTCTTAAGGCATGACAGATGTTTGTACTAAAGTGCCTTGAGATAAAGTAAAGTTTGCTTTAAGAGCTTGCAATATTCATTTATAATTTTATTGAAGAGGTGGTTGCATCCTGTGGGAGGGGAATAATGAATAGGGGGGAAAAGAATGCTGGGATATAATTCTCATGTTTATATTTTCTACTCCTTTTTCTCCTGGCTGCAGTTGAAGTACGAGAAGAGATCATAGTGGCAGAACCTGTCCCATCGAGTCCCTCCCCTGTTGCTTTCTCTCCAGCGAAATCTGCCACCTCAGTGGATGTTCCATCCGTTCCCTCTCCTATAACCAGTCAGTCCCCAGAGTATGCTGGCTTAGCAACCACCACAGGTTGGTAAGGCTAAGAAGAAGTGCTTGTTTGTAGACTTTTGAAATGATAATGTTGACCTAAAACTGTGAGGGGGAAGGGAGGAAGAAATTTTCATTTCACCCCAATTTTATACAGGATGAAAATAGAATTTTTTAAGACTATGCAATCATCAGTAGCATCGGTGAATTATTAGGCATAGGGCTGCAAAGTTCATTTTTATTTTAAAGGCCATAACAAATTCTTTGAATAAAACTGGAGGAAGATTAGGGATGGGATATACTGATCGAGTTATTAATGAAATTTAAATTCTACCCAATTCTAAGCAACTCTGCATTGCTTACATTGTCTATGGAGAGTCTCAGTCATCCAGGCCACAGATGTCCCCAAGGTGTTTTTTCAAGGGGCAACTGGACTTTCTGGGTAGGGAAAGAAACATCTTCAAAGAAAAAAACCCAGAAAGTCCACTTGCCTCTTGAAACACCTTTGGGACACTGAATCTATCCAATCTTTCCAAATGGGCAAAAACCATGGGAGACAGCACTGTCCCTCAAATAACCAGACCCTACACTGGGAAGGGCTTCATAGGTCATAGGTCATAACCACCCTAAATTGCACTCAGAAGCTAACTGGCAACCAGTGCTGCTCTCAGAATAGTGTTGTTACATAAACACACCAAGGCATGCCCAAAGCATGCTATACTGCTACATTCTGGATGAGCTACATCATCTGAATGGTCTTCAAGGATAGTCCCATGCAAAGCACAGTATTGTGATCTATCTGTGAGGGAATTAGGTATGAGTGATCATTTAGACAGCCTCCTGATCAAGAAATGAGCACAGCTGGCAAGGGCTGTCTTGTCTTATATATATAGTTTCTTTGACATGTTCCTCCTCTAGCTGATGTCCCAACAAAAATCTATACAACACTTTGATCAATCTGTTTTCTGTCTGTATCAAAAGTTTGTCTAATATTGTGTAATCTTTGGCAATACCTTCCTTCTTCCTATCCTGTGCAAACCTTGATTGTATCTGTAAGTAGGATCACCATTCTACTTGTACCCCTTGTGATGCCAATTCTAATCTAGTTTTGATCTCCCCCTGTTCTGCTCAATAACTCAATATGTAACTATATTTTCCATATTAATTAAATTTGGGTGTATGTATGATTCCATCATACATAGCCAAATGAGTGTTTTGGTATATCATGTTTAATTTTGTCCCATATTAATAACAGGGACTGCCTGATGTAGTGTCTATTGAAATATTTGTGTGCTGATCCTTTTTCATACTAAAGGAAGGCATGCCATCCTACTTGGAGGTCATGACCTTCCAATTTGAGTAATCTTTTATTTCTCAACAATAGCCATTCTTTTAACCATGTTAGAGTGGTCGCAGTATAATAAAGGTCCCAATCTGGTACACCAAGTCCTCCTTTTTTCTTAGTATCTTACATGGCTTTGGGTTTTATTCTTGGCTTTCTTCCCTTCCCTTTCCTTCCCTTCCGTACATATTAATTTTGAAGTCAGC